GCCCTCATATCATCACACGGGGGGTTAGGGCTTCATAATATGAATTTGGGGGGGATATAAACATTCAGTCCCTAACAGGTCTCATCTCATCTAAGGCTGCACTTAGGGAAGATCCACTTCCAAGCCTGCTCACATGGTTGTTGGCAGGATTCAGTCCCTTGTGGGTTGTTGAATCGAAAGCGCCATTTCCTTGCTGGTGCTTGGGTGGAAGCGTCCTTTGCTCCTTGTCACATGGGCCTCTCCATAGGGCTACTGGCGTCATGGTAGTTGGCTTCCATCAAGGGCAGCAAGTGAGAGAGCAAGGAGAGGGTGTGTAAAAAGGGAGTCATTGTCTCTCTTAATCTAATATTGGGAAGTGATATCCATCACTTTTGCCAGACTCTATTCATGAAAAGCAAGTCACTGGGTCCAGCTCACACTCAAGGGGAGAGGATGACACAAGGGCTTGAATACCAGGAAGTAGGGACCATTGGGGGCCATGGTGGAGGCTGCCTGCCACAGCTGTACCCTTGTCTTGAACTTCACCTAAGGCCATATTTTCCCGAGAGCACCCTGGATTTGACCTCGGCCCCTAGGCTATTTCTTATTTTGATGGTGTTGTCCTCTGGAGAGGCTAGAAATGACAGTTTTATTTCAAACCCAGGAAGTCCTGGCTTCTTTATGTTTCCTCTAAATTCAGTGGAAAACGGAACAGTCCCCCCCCCCTTTTTTGGGCTCATCTCACTTCTCTTGTACTATATCATAAGCATCTGAAAGAAATTCTTCAACCTTTTTACCATCTATCCAAATAGCTCCTTAGCCAGATCCACGCGTTCATTAGGTATCTTTTCTGTCTTTCATGGAATGGCAAGCTAGTTTAGCTAATAGTTTTTCCAATAGATAAGTGGAGTCCCCCTCTCTCCAGCCTCTAATAATAATACTCACTGCCCCTTCGTAATGCTCTCCGCTTGTAGACTCCTCAGTGTTCTTCCAGTTTCCATCCTCTACCTGGTGCCAAAGCCACCGCTGCCTGTTCTAAGTTTCTATACATCGAGACCTTGCCTCTAGGTATGCAATTACATTTGAGTTATCTATTGCTGTATAAGAAAACACCCTAAAACTTAGTGTTTTAAAACAATAGCATTCACTTTTTTGCTAACAGTTTTGCAGTTTGGGCATGACTCTGAGACAGCTCATGTCTCTTCCATGTGGCGTCAGCTGGCGTAGCTCAACCAGGGCTGAAGGATCCATTCCCAAGAGAACTCACTCACAAGGCTGGCAATTGGTACCAGCTGTCTGCCGGGAGTTCAGCGGGAGCTGTGAGCCCGGGACCCGGTTCTCTTCCACGTGGGTCTCTCTACGTGGCTGCATGGGTTTCCACAAATGCTTAGAAGGAAGTGCTTGAATTTCACAACTATTTAGGAGGTAAAAATCAAGAGGATGTGGCACAACAATGTGAGTATAACTCACACTACTGAACTGCACACTGCGGGATGGTATATACAGTGCTGTGTTTTTTAAAGCCACAAAACCTAATGAATAAAATCAGGGGAAGATGATGATGGCCTGCAGGTGGGTGGGTGTGGAGAGAAAGAGAGAGAGAGATGTCAGGGATGACAAAAAGCCAATAAAACATAGCCTCTGGCCTTGAGAACTTTCTGGGTCGAGCAGAGGATGCAGAAGTGTGAACAGATATTCACAACCCATGTGGTAGATCCTGTAGCTTTCTGCTGCAGTGCTAACAGGTACAAGACCCCTGCCCTGCAAACTACCTCAAAATAGATCTTTAATGTCTGCAATTCCCAAACACTGAAGATGTAATTATAGGTTTGGATTTCTTAAAGCAAACCTCAAGATGAACACTGCCCGAGAAACAGAGATAAGGAACAAAACTACAGGTGCATGCAATATTCCCCTTTCGATCTAGCATGTAAGCTTGTAGGCTAGAAGCAACGTGGTAAAGCAGTGGGCAGGGGAGAAAGCAGATGTTTCGTGATCATTGGCCCTATATTTCTAGGATATAAAATCCCTTTGTTGTCTTGTAACTCCTGATGTGTCTGGAAACTAGTGCTCCTGAGTTCTCACTTTTGAAACTTTCTTGCTTTAAAGTAGTAAACAGGTCATAAAGATCACTTATATCCTGAACAATTTCTTTCCTCTCACTGAAGTTTCATAAACAGCTAAAGTCTATTTACAGATTTTCAGAGAGGTTTCTTGGTAATGTATGACCCTACTTTCTTCCAAGTAAGTCTACACCATTCTTCATGGAAAGGACAGGAAACAGGAGTCCCTCTTTTCGTGGCGTATTACCCCCATCCCATATACTTTTCTGAAAACACCTTGAATTTCATGCTCACCGTTGATAAATGTTCTAGACCTCCCTGCTGTATTGTTAACTGCCTGATGAATTAGGTGACTAGTTGAGTGGTGTGATTTTATTTTTTATTTTTGAAATCTCATCAGTTGTCTCATTCTGAGCAAGCTCTCTATCTAGGTAGGGTCTCCCCCTACAAAATAATGACTACAGACCACTACCCTGAATCTGCCTAGTGCCCTTGTGGTGGCTCTCCATGCTGAGACACCGAATTCAGTCCCTCCTGAAGGGTCCTGGAAGGATCTGATAATGTCATTCAAGGCTGAAAATCAATATCTGATAAGACTTAATGTGTTCATTCATTCAAAAATAACCACTGAGTGCCTACTGTGTGGTAGACACTATCTAGATGTTGGGAACACAACAATGAACAAATCAGACAAAGATCCTCTCATAGCCCTTATTTTCGTTTTTTTATCCCAGAGGTTTTTGACTTTTAACAATGGACAAAGTGCTGGCTTGGCTTGAAGACAAAGGAATCAGGTTTCTATGTTTGGAATTAAGCCACATTTCCCTGGATGGGGGTAGCAGCAGCGTCCTGGAATCATACAACATCTTCCACCTACTCATAAGAAGAGTCTGGAACCATTAATGACTAGATCAATTGTCATTTTTCTTGGGCCTTTGCCAGGCTCCAGCAAGACAATATCTTTCTGTGGAGTGTATTCCGTACCAGGCCAGGACCAAGGAGGGCAAAGTGCCCGCGGCTTTGGTGGAGCAGGGGCCCAAGACCACCACTCAGCCATTGCTCAGGAAGACATTGCCCCCTCGTGGTTCCTTATGTAACTGAGGGAGGGACTGGGAGTGGAAAGGGCTGTCCAAGTTTCCAGATTAATTGTGTGGCCCTTGCCTCTTCCGAACTTCAATTGCAAGTTCAACAGATTCTTGGCTTATTTTCATCCAGGATACACTCCCCCTATCCCCCCACCCCCGTAGAGACACATGACATCATGACAGCAATTCAATATTTATCAAAATCTTCAGGCTCCCCCCCACCCCTCCCACCCCAAGAAAAACCCAGTAGGTGAATGGAAGCATCACCACTCTTTTCTTCACAGTGCTCCTCACACAAGTATTTTCATTGCTTTCTGCGATTTGAACCAAGGTCCCTGATCATGGTGCCGTGGAGTTGTTTTGGGTTTCTTGTTTCCACAACACCAGTTTAAAGTCCCTAAAAGCAGGAGCCTTATCTCCATTCCCACCCCCACCCCACTCCCAGCAGCACTTAAACCAGTATAGGGTGAAGAATGTGGGGGGGGGGAGGAAGGGGGCAGAGAGAGATAAACAGTGAAGCAAGCAAATAAATAGAAATTGTGATTGGTGCAGTGAAAAAAGGAACAGGGTGCTGTGTGAGAGAATTCCTGGGCGTGGGAAGTGAGGGAGAACCTACTGATATATGCAGTTTTAAATTTATGTGTCTATGATACCGGAATGGAGAAGCTCTCTATGGTCCCGGAAAAATGGAAATTTCCTTAATGATAATAATGCTAACTTCCATGTTCTGTAAACTTAAACTGGGCAGGAATGGGTGCTGGGTGCTATAGCTCTACCAGCCTATCATCTCCTTTAATTGCAACCCCCGGGGAGGTAACTACTTCCATTTCACAGGTGAGGAAACCGAAACCTCGCAGTCCTTCCGAGGTTGGCGCGTAAACAGGCGTTGTGCGCGGACTTCCCACGGTACTGAGCCATCTTTCTTCTTTAAGGGGCTTTGACCCTCTGAAGATCATCTGTGTTGGCCTCCAGTTCGGCTCGCTGTGAGGAATATTCACTTAGCCAACAAAGATTTATTGAGTGCCTACTGTATACCAGGTAGCGTATTTAAATAGCCGTGGGATTATAAAGAGAAACAGGGCACGGTGTTGTTGTCTGGCGGGAAGGCTCTCTCAAGAGAGTAAGGGAGGCAACCAGGTAAATAATTCCAGAACAGTCTGCTAAGGGCCGTGCCAGGAGCCTGAGCAGGGGGCCCGTGAAGCCTAGCGGAGAGCGAAGGCCGGCGCGCGGAGGCTGGGAGGTTTGCGAGGACCCGGCGCTGGAGGTGGGTTTGAAGCTGTGCCCTGAAAACGCCGGCCCGGAGCCGGCTGCCCCCGGACGTCGCTCGTTCTCTCGCATCCTGTCATTTCAAGCTGCCAACCAGGAAGGGAGGAAATAGGTCTGAGCTGGTACTGAAAGGGAGGGGCTGGCTTAGGGATAGGGGTGCGAATCCCCGCGGGCAGCAAGCCAACAGCAGTAGCCCATCACGCTTCCCGGGCGTCGCGCTGGCCCGGCCTGGCTCCCCGAAGCCCCTCTCCAAGCCGGCGCGCGCCGCCACGCGAGTTCGGCAACTCCGGCGCGGCCGAGCCGCCGGGGCCCCCAGGGGCCGAGGAAGCGGGAGGACCCGGCCTCCCTCCCTCCCTCCCTCCCGCGCCTCGGCCCTCGCCCTCTGACCTACCGCCGAGTCGGGGGGCTGGGGGTCGGCCGCTTCCGCCTGCCGCCCGCGGCCCCTCCCCGGCGCGCGCCATCCGGCCGCGGGGCAGCCGCCCCCGGCGCAGCCCCTCCTCCCGCGGGGGGCTTCTCCGTCCCGCGTCGCGTCCCTCCGGGCTAAAGCCGGCAGCCCACGTCTAGGGAGGGCGGAGGGAGGAGGAGGAGGAGGAGGAGGAGAGGGAGGAGAGAGGGGAGGGAGGAAAGCGAGAGAAAGGGAGCTGCTTGGATCCCGTACTTCCCAGAGCCTGCCTGGAGCGCGCACTCTCCGGGTCCCAGCGTCCCAGCCGCGGCCCGCGCCCTGCACCACCTCCTCCTCGGGTCTGGGCACCCCTCGCCCCCTCCCTCCGGCCCCCGCTAGCCTCTGGCAGCGGCCGCCCCCAGCCCCTGCTCGGCCACATTGCCAACTCTGGGCTCCCTCCTGGGACGCGCGCCCTCGCCCCATCCTTTCTTCCTTCCTTCCTTCCCTCGCGCCCGCCCTCCCTCTCCAGGTCTCCCTCCCGGGTCCCGATTGTCTCCGTCCCCTTCCCAGTCGGCCCGCGCCTCGCCCTGCCCCGTCTCTCCCTCGCACTTCCTGGGTCGCCTGCCGCCGCAGTCTCGCCTCGCCGCGGGAGCCCGAGCCGCCGCTGCCCCGGCTTCAGCCCCCGCAGCCCGCGGCGCCCGCCCGAGGGAGCCCCGGCGCCCGGGGAAGGGAAAAGTGGGCGAGCGCGCCCTCGCCCAGCCCCGCGCCCCAGCCCTGCCCGGCGAGGAAGGACCGGGAAGATGAACAACGGCGGCAAAGCCGAGAAGGAGAACACCCCGAACGAGGCCAACCTTCAGGAGGAAGAGGTACGGAGGGGCTCGCTGCGGCGGGGGTACGACCTGGGGCGCGGGCCGCGGGCTTTCTCCTGCGTGCGGGCGGCCGCCGGCCCCCGGGCGCCGCAGTCGAGGGTTTGGGAATTGCCCTCGCCCCGAGGCACAGCCCCAAACTGTGGCCCCGGGAGAGGGGGGGGCTCTCTTCGGAGAGCGTGTTTTTGTGGGTTCCTAAGACTGCGTAACTTTGAGGACTTTTCGGAGACTTGTAAGTATAATGCCCAGCTTTGTTTGCGTGGGATTTTAAAAGCGGAATCGAGAGCTGACTCCTGGGTGACCTCAGTTTATTGGGACCCGGAGGGTCAGGACTTAATTCTGCGACCGGGAACTGGGAAGTTTGAGGGGTGTGTTTGTGTGTGCGGTGTAAGGAGAGAACTCGGGGAAAGTTCTCGTTAAAAGACACCTTCTGTTCCCTGCCCCCTCCCTTTCAGTGTTAAAAGTTCTTGGTGAAATATCTTTCCAGCTGAGGCATTTTGGATTAATAGATAACTCATCAGCTGCATTCTTCTCTGATGAGTCAAAGACCCCGAATGTGGGTGATTAGGTTTTGTAAATTTAGGGGCGATGCGGGGGGCGGGGCGAATAAGAGTTTAAAACTTTACAATTCACCAAGCGATCATCTAGGCTCTTTTAATGGGACTTTGACTTCTGAGCGTAAATTTTATGTGGTGCGTCCGTAACAACGTTAAAAATGTTGCGGCGGCGGTGCGTTCCGTTGGTGGAAACAAAATTTAACTGTGGGAGGGAACTCCCTGAACAGAAGTTTCAGAATTTTGTAGTTAGGGTATTTGTGGTATCCTTTTAAATGGTTTTGTTCCTGCAGGTACGTTATCTGGAGTGCAAGAAACAATACTGTTTTCGCCTACTTTTTAGGATCCCTCATAGCTGAGTTCTTAAACATTCTAAAAAGAACTTGAGTGTAGAGATGCAGGAAAGTATGCATCTAGATAAGACCTGTAAGGCGTTCTTAGAGGTCTTGTATTCCAATATGTAAAGTTAACAATGGTAAACTGATTCTAAAGCGGTTAGGTTGAGATTATTTTGGAGATAACGTGTTGTGTGCAAACAAAGATTCTGATAGTGAAACCAAACGTTGGGGAGGATTTAAATAGTACTTTTGAGTCCTCAGGACATTGTCCACTTGTGAAAAAGGGAATTTAAATGTAGAGGGACCTAAGACCATGCAAATCAATGCAAAATACAAGATTTTACTCTTAGCCCATTTGTATGGGGCAACCCACCGGAATTGGAGTAAGCGGAAAATTGCCTTCACACCTGAGGATAATTGCGCTTTTTATTATAAACTATTTTGAAAAGTGTTATTTACATGCTAGTTCTTTAGGACTACTGACTTCCCCCCTTTTCAGAGAGTCCGAGACCTGACTTGCAAGTTCCACTTTTTTTTTTCTTGAATCTTACTGGCTGCTTTGCTATTTCTTTTCCCTACCCTTGAAATAAAATTTTTAAAAATGACGAGTGTGCTTCTCCAAGGAGTTGCTATATTTAACTAATTCACCTAACACACCAATTGCTTCAGAAACCTTTCTATTTCACTTAGATGGGCAGTCTGTTTATTTCTAAGGGTAAGACTGTATGGTATGAAACCATCTTTCTCTGCTCACCCAATTGAGAATTCTTGTAAATGGAAAACAATCAGGCAGACCCAAAGGCTTTTTTTTTTTTTTTTTTTTTTTTTTTTTTTTTTTT